ACCAATAGACAATTAGCCATGTGTTTGCAGGAGATGTTTGCATCCCGGCTTACCTTCACAAACAACTCAACAGAGGGGAAGCCGAGTTTTTTAATAGCTATGTCGTACCAGGACATGATGATCACTCCACAAAAACAAAGCAAAAAAGGAAGATGACCCGAAACAGTCCAAGCCAAAGCTGTCTCTGCATGCCTGTCTGTGGAACCGCCCATCCGCCCTCTCTGGTTCTGGTATGAGAATAACGCCTTCACCCTCACAATCCCTCTTTGACAGAGCACACAGATGGCGTGGGAGGTAAAAGCTGAGACCAGACACATGGTGGAGAGACTCCATCTCAGTCAACAATGGAAGCTGACACTGCATAGAAACACAACGGTCCATCCCTCTGCAGGTTGTTTGTTCTGACATGGTCTTTTCATTTGGTAATGAGCGGAGGTGGGTCTCTGACCAACAAACACCTGTGTGCCTCCACCCTGTTTATCCAGTCTGGGCAGAGGTGAGACACATGTAGCTGAGGTTTAGCCAGCTGTCGTGGGTTCAGTCAAAGGATTTCTATGAAGCCTAATTAATCAATGTAGCCTCACAACAAGCAAGCTTGTAGTAACAACAGTGAGGGAGGCCTTCTGTGTCATGTCAGGGGGACTTTCTGTGTTGTCATGTCTTCCTTGATTACCTATTGTGTACACCTGGGGTTCCCCTCCCTCATGTGTTTAAATAGTCCTGTTTCCCCTGTCCTGTGCCAGTGTGTTTTTGCTTTCGTCTTTTTGGGTTTTTGCTGTCTTTGTCTTTTCGTTCCTCGTCTTGCCCATGCCATGTAAGATTTAGATTTTTTACACTTTGTCATAGCCTTGTTTTGCCATAGTCTTGTTAACCTTGTTTTGATACTTTTGCCAAAGTCTTGTTTACTTAATTTGATACTTTGTTCATAGTCTGGTTAAACTTGTTTTCATACTTTGTTCCTAGTCATGTCTTCCTTTGCCTGGTCTACCACTCCGTTGGAGTGCGTTGTTTGTTAAATAAATCCTGTTTTCACCTTGTTACCAACTCTCCGCATCTGAGTCCACCCCTGAAATCGACCAACCTGACATTCTGGGCTTCTGATGGTGGTATTCCAGAAAATGGAAAGGTGAATACAACCGTCTAAGCACCACTTTAAGACCTGTTATTGATTTATTCCTCTGCTCCAGTGTACAACTGAGACACGTGTGGAGAGTGACATTACTGTCATAATAACCATGTAGCTGTTTCCGCGTTGTGTATCTGTAGGTAGTTACGTATCTGCTGGCATGTGGGGTTCCTCAGGGGTCTTGTTTTGGCCTCCTTTAGTCAACGTTTACATCTTCCCACGGGCTCAGCTTATGTAAAGCAGGTAGTGCAACCACAGTTGTACAGACGACACACAACTCTACATCACCAAAGTCTACACCAGATATACGTCGTCTAGAGACGATAATCCCTTACGAACATGTATCAAACATTTTACACAAACATATATCCCCTTTGTATGAAGTCAAAACTGAGCTAAATTTGCTCTGCACCGACTTCCTGTCCACCAAAGAGTTCATGGCACCTACTGGTGTGTAAGGCTGTAAATGGCTCCCCCAAGATCCTTTAGTATGCAATGAACCGATCTTTTAGTATGCACCTTTAAGACCACTTGGCTCTTCGGGGTTCCAAACTCTTGAGCTAAACATGGACTTTCCAGTCTACCATTGGATTATCCGTCTATCCACACAGTGGGACACCAGTAACATGGAATAAGCAACAACATCAAACACATAGAGTTAGCAAGATAACGGGAGTCCTGATGGGGGTTACTGGGGACTGGGAGCACTGGAGCTGGCTCGATTGGAAAAAAATCTCTGTCTACCACAGAAACCAGTTAGTACTAGTGGAACAGAGCTCGTTTAAGTGCACGAAGACTGCAGTGTGAGGTGAGAGTGTGTTGCAGTCAGAGCTCCCAGCAGCAAACAGCAGGCTAATAGGCTTACTGAGTGAAAACGTAGAGATTAACCCTGTGTGGAAAACTGAGGGCTCAAGCTGGAGCTGTGTGGTTCTTCTGGTCTGACCGTGTCTCTCTGGTGCTCTTGAACACAAATACAGCAAACCGGGGAGAAACCTGAACTGTCTCTGGAATATTTCCATCTACATAGGTATTGGCCACCTTTAGCCATGTGTTTAATCCCAACCACTGGCTCAGGAACACCTCCCTACCGGTGGCCACCTTTTTGCCACCTGTTGAGGCTTCAGCTCTCTGCACTTGCTCTTCTTTCCCCGACCCCGAACACAGCCCCACACAAAAGAGCCATTGTTTGCTCCCGAGCTCTCCTCGTCTTGCAAACGTGTGAGGCAGCACTCAGAAATTAGCGCATTTCTTTGGGGCTAAGCCTCTGTGGTAATGCCCTCTTTACTTCAGGAATGTCCTGATAGAGCAGAATGGGCCTCTTTGTGCCTAGGGTTAGGGTATACACACATCCTGACCCGGCGTTACCTTCAGCTCCTATGCAGAGCTGTCCATTCCCTTTACGGTTTCTGGAAGTAAGGGAAGCACCATAGCTGTTGGATTAGGACACTGCAGCCCTAATGAGATCCGCTAAGCAGATCAAGGTGAGCTCTCTCACTCTCTGGCAGCCTGTCCATTTCCAACCAACACAAACGCACGCGACTACGAGAACCAGCGTGTGTGCATCCATCTGTCGGTCAGACTCACTCGGCCAGACCAGAAATGGAGCCAATAACGAAAAAGAGAGAGAG